CTCTCTCTCTCTCTCTCTCTCTCTCTCTCTCTCTCTCTCTCTCTCTCTCTCTTGCCCGTCCTCCTGGTCGTAGCAATTTTGCGAATGTATATTTTTTTCCTGCCGACCCCTGCCCTCCCCTCCCCACCCCTCTCGATCCGCTCGCGTCTCTCTCGCCACCAGCGTTATAATATCGCTCTCGGCTTTAGTGAATCGCGTCTATTACGCGTGAAAAAGGTAGCATTGTTCCTACCTTCGCGAAAGAGTAGAGAGAGAGAGACGATAATTATCCTTTCTCAAACATTCCTCCACAATGCAAATGTATAATTAAGATTAAGTGGTTCAGCGTGTGCAGCGCACCGTGATAGATGATAGACACAGAGAAGTAATGTCTCGAGCGCTATCTCGCCGCAACGATATATTACAACTCGCGCTATTATGTATAAACTGTAGGATCTTCGGGGCGGATAAATCATAATTATGAGCTTCGCACGGGCGAACTATATTCGAGTGAAAGCGTCGTCAAAGTGATATTGGCAACAACAACACACACATACACGCGCACGGAGAGATAGGAGAGTGATAGGAGTGGCGTGTCCTGGTGGTTTCATCGCGGAACAACCCTCCCCGGTGCGCGCCGCGTTTTACATTCTCTCGCCGTCGATGCGGAAAACTAACGTCGAATTTGCGAGCGAAGGAAACGCTAATGAGACTGAGGGAGCGGTGGGGTGTGTGAGTGCGCGAATTCAGTGAGGAATTTTACACTCGGTCGTGAGTCGGTGCGACGCCCCTACGAAAACGCTTTCCTCAAAAGCGATCGTAGCCGAATCAGCGCAGAACTCGCACGGTACGGAATAAAGTAAAGAGAGGGCACGAAGTATTACAGAAAATAAATGTAAGAAAGAGAAAATTAAATAATGCTTCGGTCAGAATATGTAAAAAGTGCAAAGAGAAAATAATTTAAAAGAAATAAAAATGGAACTGTAAATCCGCCACACGTCCTTGTCGTTACTTCTGGCTAATGCTAAGAGCAGGTGATGCTAAGGTCGACGATTATTTCGGGACTTGTAAATTTGTCAATCATACTAGAAAGAGGGAAGAAGTAGAATAAAGAGGCAGAGAAAGGAGAAGAGCAAGAGAGAGAGAAGGGAAGAAACTGGGGAGGGGAAGGAGAAAGAAAAAGAAAAATAGGGGAATAAAATGATAAAAGTGGAGGATAGAGATGGAGGGGAAGAGACAGAAGAGATGATTAGGAGAGAAAAAAAGGTAAGAGGAAGGTAAGAAGGTAAGAAAGAAGAGTGCTGAGATAGAGAGGAGAAGAGAGAAGATGTGAAAGGAGTGAGAAAAACAAAGAGCTGAAGAAGAGAGGAGGAGCGGGAATCGAAGAGAGAGAGAGAGAGTGTGTGAATAACAATATGGGAGTTTGGTACTCACTGTTTCCTCCGGGCCGGTGATTTCGTTTATTGCAGCTGCGTACTATTCACCACCGGTCGTCTAATAACGGCGTGGCGAAAGGGGTTGTTTTCCTCTCGCAGCAGATGGGGCGGCACGGGCTGAAGAGGCGAGGCAAGCCGGAGTCGTCGTGCCGAATTATTCCGCGACTTGCTCCACCAACCCAACCTGCAACAGGGATGCATAAAACGAAATTAATGTCGTAATAATCGCGCCGCGCTAAACGTAATTCGGTTACAGTCGCGCGCGCACGCCCTTGAGACGCGCTTAATTTCGCAATAATTGTTCTACACGGCGACTTATCGCGATTATATTACTCGTTTGGTGCGAGATTCGCGCACGTAGGGAACACACTCTCGGCATTGTACGAGAAAACGAAATCGTTTTAATACGCAAGCTTCGTCTCGGGTTACATGCGGAAAGAAGGACTGTTTCTCCCTGGGAGGATGGTAATGTTTCCGGGGCGCGTGTTCCACGGGAGATAGGAATGACAAGAATTCCTATGAGGAAGAAAGAAGAAGGAGAGAGGGACCTCGTTATGAGAATCGACGGAGTCATTTATGCGATATCCGAAGAGACACAGAGAGGAGTTTACCACACACGTGTACTCCGGTTGTCTTCGGCTTGGAATATATCAAACCGTTCGTTTCCGTGATGACGACGCGTCGTCACAGACAACATCGTCGTCGTCGTTTCTGCAGAGTCTCGTTTAAACGAAACACGTTCGTACCGATACAAGTCCGCGCGCCGAGAGCAAAGGCGAGGAAATATTCGCGCTGCGCACGTAGTCGTGGAAACAAAAAGAGATCAGGGGAGAGAAAACAAAATCGCACAGAGACGACGGTCCACAAAGGAAGAGGAAGATACGTAGAGAGAAAGGAAAAAAGAGAAAGAGCGAGACTAGAGACGCAAACACGGAGAAACCGAGAGAGAGAGAGAGAGAGAGAGAGAGAGAGAGAGAGAGAGAGAGAGAGAGAGAGAG